CGACTCGCTGCACGAAGATATCTTTGATGAAGGAAAAGCGATGTTGCACAAGTCTTCAATCTCTGTCTCACAAAATTGCACATCCTCCACTTCCAACAAGGGTGAGGATATGCTAGAAAATATGGATCTACAGCGAGGTGAGTTTTCCTTCTCCTTCGAGTGCTGAGATATTGGCGATTTCTTTTGTGGGAAATTGGGGTTAATATTCTCCTTACTCTTCAACACACCCCTCCCTTGAGTATCTCTGGAGAAATCTAGCGAAGTATTTTGCGAGAAATGACCAGTGATCTTTTCCAGCGAGTTCCTGACTCTGGGTGACATCTGGCCTAGTTTCCGAGGTGACTCCCTCCTTCGGTGTTCTTGCGTGCTCGCCTCCTCCGATGGCTGACTGCTGAAGTGAGAAATGATGCTGGATACACTTGACTTTCTTCCCGGGACTTCCCACTTGCTCTCGGAGTCATGGATTTCCTGCTTGCTAGACTGCAGGGACATAAATGTATCAGGCTTCCATGGAGTTGAAGTGCAAGCTGGAACTGACTGCCTTCTCCTCTCTGTTGGCCTGTCATAATACTCTGTCATGTCTTCTGACACCTCACTGAACTGTTTCACTAAGCTACCCACTTTTTGCTCCTTTTCAATTGATACAATTGTAAGTTTTGGAATGCTTACTGAGATCTCACTTAATGATCTATCTTTTATGTGAAGACTGCTACCACTACTTTTCAGACTTTCCACTGACCATTCACTCGACATTGGAGAGTTATCACTCTGCCTTGATTCCACTTTCCTTGCCACATCTAATGCCAAATCTCTAGGCGGGGAACTAATTCTCTTAATTCACAAATCAGGGAGGGGAAACTCCTCTCCCTTACCTACTGGCAAGGTCTGCTTCTATGCCCTCGGTACTTTGTTCTCTTTGGGCAAGCTCTGGTAGTATGTTTACGCCACAGAGAGAGGACGATGTCTCTTTCTCGGCCTTCTGAAAATCCCTCTCCTCCCGTGAGAAGAGTAACGGAGACTGAGTGCTTGTCTCTCTCTGTGCCGAACCCCATGATGGAATGTCACCATCATCTGCGGACCTAATCCCCTCAAGATCTTCAGGTGGATGCGGGGAGTTGGCAACAGCACTCGAGAGACTGGACAGTTCGTACTCATCTTGAATTTCCTCTTGAATCTCTTCTGAGATGTCGCTGCCACTCGACATCTGGTCTACCTCCTACATCCCTGCTGTATCTGGAATGACAACGCTTTTAAGGAAATTGTAATTTCTTTGGTCCAATATCCATGTTGTATCTGCATTTACATCATCTGTGGGGCTATATTTATTTCTTTTATATAAATCAAAGATTTTTCATTAGTCTGTGTCTGTCTGTCTGTCTGTCTGTCTGTCTGTCTGTCTGTCTGTCTGTCTGTCTGTCAATATACCTATCTATCTATCTATTTTCTTAGGGCTTAGGGTTTCTCTTTTTCACTTTAACTTATGTAAAAATAATATTAACAGTAATATTAACATTAATAATATAAATAAAGTTAAAATTCCTCATCACTATGAAGGCATTACCTTCACCTCAACCTGCAACCTTTTACCATAAAAAAAAATACAATTCAATCATTTACATCTGATGAAATCTGTTTTGAAGATGGTGATGATAATGATAAAGATAATGATGATGATGATAACAGTAACAATAATAATAGTAATGATAATGATAATAAAAATAATAAAAACAATAATGAATGACAATGACAATGACAATGACAATGACAATGACAATGACAATGACAATGACAATGAAATGATAATGGAAATGATAATGATAATGATAATGATAATGATAATGATAATGATAATGACTATGACTATGACTATGACTATGACTATGACTATGACTATCATTATCATGATGATGAATGATGATGAATGAATGATGATGATGATGATGATGATGATGATGATGATGATGATGATGATGATGATGATGATGATGATGATGATGATGATGATGATGATGATGATGATGATGATGATGATGATGATGATAATGATAATGATAATGATAATGATAATGATAATGATAATGATAATGATAATGATAATGATAATGATAATAATAATGATAATGATGTGATAATGATAATGATAATGATAATGATTATGATTAATGATAATAACAATAATAATGATAATAATGGTAATAATGGTAATAATAAAAACAATTATTACAATAATAATAATAATGATAATGATAATGACAACAATAACAGTAGCAGTATTACAAATAAGAATAATAGCATTTATAATAATAATAATTGTAGCATTATAACAACAACACCAATACTTAAAATGATCATAATGATCATAATAATTATGAAAGTGAAAGTGATTACTGTAGCTTCCTTAAACACTGTGAATGAAATAATTCTTCATTTTATAATAAATTACTACAGAGGTCTAAAGTCTCTTATTTTGCAAGTACATAAGTGGTGGAGGTCTGTTAGCCTTTGCTAGAGCACTGATAGGTGTAAAGTCGTCTAGTATATCTAAAAATTATATCAAAACAAAGGTCCATAATTTGTTAATCAAACATGAATGGAAAGGATAAGATGCATTCAAAGAGAATCTAATGAAATAGTTGCACATAACACAATATCATTTGATGTACAGTAATAATAATAAGAAGAAGAAGAATCCGGCAATAAGAAAACTTACAAAGCAATCTTTCATCAAAGTCTGCAGATCTACATGTCAACAATGGTATGAACGTCACAATTTGTGCTCCGTTAGCGATCAACAAACCTTCACTATGACAATTCATCAGCAAATACGAAACCAATTTCTAAGCTTTATTTTGCAATACTAAATGAGGTGGTTTGACTAAATAATTTATATTTTACGAGTAAGCCATGAATTTGTTGAACAATAAGTAACATATCACAATTTCACTGGGGGATCGTGCTTTTTGTGCCGCTCTCCCCCTGGCTATGGTACTAAGTGTGAGATAAGACTGACAGTCAATTTCCTTATTCATAGTGTTTTAAAAATATATGAAATCTTACTTAATAACCATTTACTTTATAAAAAATTAAAACTACATGTTCAATCATTGAAATCTAAAGTAACAAAAAAAAATCCTGTAGAATTGTAATTATTTCTTCTTTATTCCAACATACAGACCTCGTACGTAATTCAGGAATATATCATACAATCCCCTTTCTGCTTTTAACGTCATTGATTAACAATCATAACACTAATCAGTTGCTAATTAACCCCTATGTGAAGAACCTTGGCATATAAACATACACGACGTTAATACCTTCCATCTTATTTCACTTCTCTTCACACCATTTCCATCGTTTTCACAGTTTTATTTACACCACCCGGCATGCAGAAAGTATCAAACATTTCTCTAATTCCACTTTTACTTACCATTCTCTTTGTAATCGTTTCAAAATACATGAAAACACGTACCTGAGAATCCCCTTCGCCTTTACTCCTGTTCTAAAATGTGTCGTCTGCCCATTCATACTCTGCTCATATGCCAAATCTCCAGTTTACATCCTATTTTTTACCCTTTTTTATTCATATAGCACTTAATTCGCAAATGGTTGTATGATGCTATTTTGTCTTTTTTATTTTTCCTTGTCTAATTTAGGTACTGAGTTTATGTAGATGTGAGTTTAGTGGTTATGAATATTTAAATTAGGCAAATGACCCACATGCGTGTTTACCTATTTTCGCGCAGGTGTGAAATCCAGGGATTCCCCGTTACAATATTTGCGTTATTATATACTGTATTGTTTGATGTTCTTTCTTTCTATTTGCCATTAGAAGAATGTTGGCATAAATAAAATATACGTCGAAAGTGTGTATCAAAAGTTATGAGCAGGTGAGAAGTTTTCATGTTAATGCATTAATCATATATTCACAGGTGTTACCTCGAAAAGTGAAAACGTAAATCATGGCAAGAAGTAAATAGTAAATACGAATATAAATGTTTGCAAAGTGATTTAAATGCGGAATAGTAAGATATTACTGATATCTATAATAAATGTTTAAAGTGTTACCTTGTGCGAGAGGAAAATCATTAAAAAATATACGTGTAAACACATGGTGAAAGAAATACAGATCATGGCGGGTTATATTGGGGTATAAAAATAAGTCAGGAAAGGTATGTGTTGGTGCAATGAACTATATCCACAAGTGTTACTACAGTGAACGTACACATTTTAAACAAGTGTTCTGAGAGAGGTGTGTCCTGTACAGAATTCTAAAAATAGATGATCTAATCTCTATATAAATACTTGGTTTGCGATTGACTTTCTATATTTCTCTTTTCATTACGTATCATTACATATTTTACCTTTATTACTAAGACATAACTTGTCAGGTGATTTTTTTTTATTTTTTTACTGTGTGTGTGTGTGTGTGTGTGTGTGTGTGTGTGTGTGTGTGTGTGTGTGTGTGTGTGTGTGTGTGTGTGTGTGTGTGTGTGTGTGTGTGTGTGTGTGTGTGCCTACACGTTCACAATCACAACACATACACACGCGCACACGCACACACACACACACACACACACACACACACACACACACACACACACACACACACACACACACACACACACACACAAATATATATAGATATGTACATATATATATATATATAGATAGATAGATAGATAGATAGATAGATATAGATATAGATATATAGATATGTATATATATATATATATATATATATATATATATATGGAAAGATATGAATGAGACTGGATATCACAATACAAGAGATGTATTTGACCGGTTTCGATTACGTCTTCATGTCACCACATTTGTCAAATGGATACGGTTCATATATATACATATATATATATATATATATATATATATATATATATATATATATATATATATATGTATATATATGTATATATATATATATATACTAGTATTATAGTACTATATATATATATTATATAAATGTTGTATACACACATATA